AATTCTAATGCTACTGACATGCAAACAAATTCCACACAAATAACAGATTGTCAATTGTTAACAAATTTGCAAATTTACCAAAATATATTTCTATTACTCCTCCACTACTTTCCAAACATTACATTTCCATAACATGATATACTTTCGAATATAATTTTTATTCCTCAGAAGAAAGTTTCATTTCATTATCTGAATTGAAAATAAAAGTATTCAAAATATGAACACACTGTCTCAATTTCTGATCCAAAACATTCATCTCAAAATGATCATCTCCATCATTTTCACTAGTTTGCACTGTAAATTTTTGTTTAAATTTGGAAAGTCTTGAAAGAACTCTCGGAGATTTCTCACTTGGTTTTTGTAAATGATAATGGTATTTGAAGTTTGAGCTTTCTAACATGGCTTCGTGTTGGAAATTCTTTTCAAAATCTTCAGTTTTTGAGGTTGCTGAGGCAATTTTGTAGAGAGAATTGAATAAATGTTTCTTTCTGAGTTCTGGCAGAATTTCCAGACGATCCTTAATTCTCTTCTTAAAGTACAATGTGGAATTTCTCTCATAGAGTGGATTTTTAAAGAATTCTTCCTCGTCTTGGTTGCCACTGCTATTGGTGGAATCCTCTTCAATGAAATATTGGGTTACACATTGAGAATCCAATGGATTGGAATAGTGTGTAAAGTAAAATACAGAAAGATCTTGGAATACATCAATGGCTGCATAGGTCAAATTGGATAATAATGGATTGTAATAATGAGTAATGATGAATTGACCTAAAATATGAAGAGCATTAGATTCAATGAGTCTACACGCTGCCTTCTTATACTTGCAAAGTCTTTTGAGGAACATGATAAAGGAATAACATTTGAAAAGTCTGAAATTCAAATTGCCCTCACTGCTTTCCTCTGGATCATTGTTCTTCAAAATGGAAAAGTACTTGATAAATGTCAAGCAATATTCAATATAATTGGAAATTAATAAATAGTACATTCCAACATTGGTATCAATGACATAGTACAATAATTGCATGACCATGTAGAGCATTTTGTAATTCTTGTAAGTTTTGATATGATTCACGTTCAAAATAAATTCATTGAAAATGATATTGATCAAATTGGTGCTTTGTAAGAGAGCTAACAAGTAAACACTCATGTGGTGATGATGGAATTCATTGATGTGTGTTTGAGGATCACTGGAATCTTCGCCCTCTGATTGTTGAACTGAACTACTCTTCTTCAAATCATTCTTAATATTCATAATGATAGATGAGATGTGATGATACATTTCAGTGAAGGATGAATTTGCCTGAGAATTGTCAAAATTTCTCAAATAATAAAAGACATTCATATTGTACTTGAGAGCACTCTCAGTGAGAATGTGGTAATTATTATAGAGTTCATAGTAATCGTAGAGAATCAGTAACTTGTCAATGAATTTGTAATCGTTCAAACTTCTTTTTGCTACACTGTTATTGGAAATACTACTGTAGGAGAAACTGCCAGCAATTTTAGTTTTAAATCCTTCCAATTTTTCAACAATTGAAGAAATCATGGAATTATCAACGGAAACACTGACAATCTTGGCGTAGGCATCGTCATCTTCAATCATATTATTATTGACCTTATCTGTCATGATAACATTAATACTCTGTTTGAAATAATCAAAATAGTGACAAATTTGTAACAAGGTTTGAATGCTGTACATTCTAATTTCATAAAAATTGGCATCTGTCACACTCTCATTCAAAATGTTATCAAGAATCTTTTCAATAATGTCGTGGTGGTTTCTCAAGATGGCATATGTACCAATGTACAAGTTGCTAACCTTCATAATACAGTAATAACCAATTCTCTTGACATTTGGCATTGAATCTTCGGTCAAGAGTTTGATAGATGGAAGAAGAGACAATAATTGAATTTGACCTTTAACACTAATTGCCAATTGGGATAAAATACTGGCACTGTACTTTCTCCACTGATTATTATCATCAATTAACCACTTGTTATTCTTAATAGTTGTAAAAATACTTGAATTATCACTAACTGACAATAACAAGTCAATTTGATCAACATTACACAACATCTTATCCAAATCAAACAAGTATTTAAGCTTTTGCTTCTTGATAATCCTATCGTCCTGTAAATATTGCAATAATTGGAGAACAGATTCCGATTGTTTGTCATCACTCTTATCTCCACTACAGTGTGAACTTCTAAATGTTGAATATTGTTTGAAAGCATAGGTTCTAAACTTGGAGGATTCAGCAATGAACTGTCTTTGAATCTTTTTCAATTGACCTCCTGAAATATTCTTCAAAGCCACTTGTTGTTTTTGTGGATCGACACCTACATCAGACGGAACATTCTCAACTATATCAGTAAGCTTTCCCTTTGTCAATAATTCGGTAATAAACTTGAGATTGTGAGTTTTGAACTGATCACGAACCCATTGTTCACTCTTTCCATCTCTCACTCCACTAATGACATTTAACATGAATACTTTCTGATAGGCATTGAGCTTTTCAATTTGAACGTCTTCGCTATCATTTGTATTGAGGAATGCCAAATCAGAGCCACCGAAATGAGGTGGCATCTTTTCAGCAAGTTGAACTTTTCTAGAATTGACACTCAAACAAACATCCCACCATTGAGTTCTCTGATTTTTTCCTTGAGTTTCAAAGAGAGCATTCGTCGTACCAATGATATATTCTGGAATTTTAGAAGTTGCAGATAACACATCATCCATCTCTGAGAGTGGCACATATGGATGTACACGATTGACATTATATTGGAATGGATAAATCAAGAGAGGAAGAGTGAGACAGATCTGTGAAACCAACTTGGCAGGTGAACCAATTACCATAATTCTCTTATCCAATAATAGAGCATTCCAACAAACAAGCATTGTTTCCAATCCAAAATATTGAACTAATTGTACAAGAGAAGTTCCATGTGTAAATGCAATTGGTGTGAATGGATCAATCTGACGTGGAATATTCAAAGTAATAGTATCAGTATTTGGGAATAATTTCAATTGTAACATGTTACAATTTCTGCACTCGTTATAAAACTCTTTCAAAGTATCATTAATCTGATCATGAACTTGATTCAAAAGATTTAAATCCGTTTCGTTTAATTCTTCACCTGGTTGTTTCTTAGTAGCTGTAGCATTAACCTGTAAGTGAATATTATCCAAATCCAAAATTCTATTCAATGCCAATCTCAATAAATTCTCATAAACAGTAAATAATGGTTTTGATGAAAATAAAATAATTGACTTTTGAATGGCGCCTCTCTTGACACGTTCATCCTTCTTATTTCTAAATAAACAATGAGCATACATTGGTTTATCCACATAGGGTTCAATAAATTCCATTACTTGTTGTGTATTATTAACAACTGAACTATTCTCACTATTCGAAACACTAGAAACATTGTTAGAAGAAGCACCCGATTTCAAATAACTATACAGAGAAGAACTCACAACATTTGAAGGAATTACCAGATAGGTAGCATCCTCTTCAAAATAGTGAGCACCATCCGGAAGACAATAATCTCCCAAATGAGATGTGAAAGTGTTTAGAATAGTTCTTCGTTCGGGTGGATACACATGTGAAAGTGTGTTTCCTTTGAGTAAATCAAATTCTGCTATACACACACAGAAAATATCCATAATTATGCTGATGACGAATAGTTTCGAATAAATTAATTATTAAATTTTAATTGTGATGATGTGTTGAGAAGTTAATGTGAAAAAGATTAAAGAAGTGATGAGGTGGAAGGTCTGTTGTGAGTTCTTTTGTTTTTTTGTAAATTGTGCCATTATTTAGTGTGATGACTTGACCCGCAGCTACTTGAAAGTTGATTGGAGATAAAAATGCAAGCATGAAAAAACGTTGAGGATGGGATTCGAACCCACGCGGATTACTCCACCAACTTAGCAGGCTGGCGCCTTAACCACTCGGCCACCTCAACTTGATATCCAATATATTAATATGATTATTAAATAATGAATGTGGG